AAAAAAGTAAAAGGAAGCATCAAGGCTTCAGACAGGAGTGGTTATGTTATATCAAAGGGATGAGTGGGAGTTTGTTTCTGTATAGCAATAGTACTAGAAATTCATGAATCAGAGGATGTTGTGAATCATGATGACATACACACAATGAATTGAGATCCTGTGCTTTGAAGTGCTCTGCAATTTATCTGCCTGGAAATGCCAGTCAATGATCCAAACTTCCCATCATTGACAGCAGATGTTACCCGACATGTAGCATTATTTTTCAGAAAGAATTGCAAGGACAGAAAACACTTGGAAAAACATCAATCTCAACTTACCACCTAGAAACAAGGTCTTCTGTACCCTATAATATGTGTTCCAGATTAGTCTGTATTTTTTTTTATTTTACCCTAGCAAGAACAAGGAGCAGGTGTTTGCAAAAGCCAGTCCTATCATTAGGCAGAATGAGGAAATTATTACCGGCAGCAGAGTTTGGGTATCATGAAAGGATGGAAAATGGCTAGGAAATTATTTATGATTATTGGTGCTTGTGGGATTTTCATGGTGCCTGTCAGATTTTCTGTTTGAGAGAGCAAAATAACACAGTTGGTACTGGGTACTTTATACTAGGGCTCTTAGGGGGAAAGGGATCATTTTCCGATCACCCTCAAGGGGGAAAATGCCGGGTCCTGGCATATGCCATATATATACTACCATCTTTGTATTTGTGTTGGGACATGTTCCCAATTTTATATGGAAAAAGGAAACTCTAGCTAATATCAAATAATATTGAAATGATATGGTATGCTTCCACTGGGCATTGACAAAGGGTCATGCTGGAGGACCTAAATACCTAGAGGTGACAGATTTTATTTGATTCAGATAGGTGAAACCACAAATACTGGTCCTGTAAGTATCAGAGTTATATTGTATTTTAAAAAGGGACATCTTCAGGTTTAGAAGCCTGATGTGATGGCTGGTTTACATGATCTTTGTCCATGAGCTCCTTCACTGCATGCTTCTAAGGCAGTTGTAATAAGAGAAGAAAAGAAATTACTATGTGTACTGTGGTAATATCTTTATGAGTCAACATATATATATATTTCTTAGACATTCTGCCAAGTTGGGATCTAATGGCCCATCCAGACAATACCGCAATAAAGGGGCTGTTCATACAATGTTCTGAACTAATTAGATTGTGAGGTTATTCCACGCCTTCTTGGGAGGTGCAAGATAAACCCACTATTTCCTGTTCTGGACTGTGGGAATACCCACCCCCAAAGCCCCCAGACCCCTTAGAAAAGTAATAAAAATTTACCTGGCCTCCATTACAAGCTTCAGCCAGCTATCCAGGGGCATAGAAATGATGGGCCAAGAGAGCGGGGGGAGGGGAGAAGGGAGGAAAATGACTCCACCCCCCCCACTCTCCTGGCGCATCAGGCCCCCAGAAAAATCTGTGTTTTTAAAATGTGGATTCTCCTGGGATAAAGGCCTGTCAGGATCTCCCTAAGAGACCTATACAAAAACCTCTACTTAGCCATAACATTTCCTGATTTTCCTTAGGCTAGTCCCATTCAGAAAGAGACGGTCTTTCATCCTATGGCACCAAGGCATGTAAGCTTCTAGAACGAGCTCAGCACCCTGAACGGATCATAGAAACAAACTGGAATCCAACAAATTTGGTTCAAATCTGGTGCTATATGACATCTATACTAGGCGACAGTGTGGGTTCTGCATTTTGCACTAGTTGTGGCTTCTCAACGCTTTCCAAGGGCAGTACTAGAGAGAGCAAATTACAGTAGTCTAATTCAGAGGTAATTATGGATCACTGTAGCCAAACCCACCTCATCGAGTCATTTGAAATGATGATAGGGAAAGGCTCTTGTTGGCCACCCAAAGCTCCTTGGAAAAAGAACACGAAATGATTGTAATTAACAGAACATGTTGGATTTGGTCTTGCTTGAACACTTAAGCATACTATCAGAGGACAAGTGCTGAATATTCTGGCTACCACAAACAGAACTGCTTTACTTACTGAGGAAATGCTCAGTTAACACTCTGTTGGAGCAACGTCAAAGCACAAATCAACATAATGCTGAGCAGGCATTAGAAACCGAGGAGATAAATACTGTGGTAGGACTAAGGAGGATGAAACTTTTAATGTTATTTTATGTGCTCACGTTATTAAAAAAAACACACATTTTTTTCTGTCCTGACTCAACATTTGCATTTAGCATTTTTCTTTACTTCATGTGGATACGTTTAACAAATGTTCATGTGCACAAATATTTCAGTATATTTAGCCTAGCTGCACCAAGCATTTTAATACATGGGGTGGCTAAAGTGCAATTAAATCAGGATAAAAAACACTTTTTTGATGGAGATTACTGTGTGACTCTGGCGGGTGGTGCTCATCTCCATTTCTAAGCAAAAGAGCTGGTGTTGTCCATAGACTCCTCCAAAGTCATGTGGCTGGCATTATTGCATGGAGTGTCATTACCTTCCCGCAAAAAACAAACAAACAAACAAACAAAAACACCTTCCTGCAGAAGTGGTACCTATTGATCTACTCACATTTGTATGTTTTCAAACTGCTAGGTTGGGCCTAATAGCGGGAGCGGCCCCGCTCCCCAGATTTGAACCATCAACCTTTCAGTCAGCAAGTTCAGCAGTTCAGCGGTTTAAGCCACTGCACCACCAGGCTGCCCATAGTCACATAATAATAATAATAATAATAATAATAATAATAATAATAATAATAATCTATATAAATAAAAATGTAATGTTCGTTTGTGGGATTAACATAACTCAAAAACCACTGAGCAAACTGATACCAAATTTGGACACAATATACCTATCAGGCCGTCAAGTGACCATCACTCATAAAAACACTGGAAAACACAGCAAAAGGGACTTAAAAAGTCAAAAACAACCCAAACCAAAACAAAAACTACATTACAACGTATGCGCAAAACCACATATAGATATGCAAACACACATATACACAAATATATACATACACGTATACACACACAAAACACATATACACAGACTGGGCCACACATTATAATACACGTGCAAAACCACATATATACACATAAACATAAATATATACTCTCTCTCTCTCTCTCTCTCTCTCTCTCTCACACACACACACACACACACACACATATATATATACACACACACACAAAACACATATATACAGACTGGGCCACATCAATGTGTGGCAGGCGCAAAACCACATATATATATATACGCCAGGCATGTAGCCGGGGGGGGGGGGGTTGGGAGGGCTTCAGCCCCCCGAAATTCTCATGGTGGTTCGCGAAAAGGCCTTACTGGTGCATTATTTAAACTGTTATGTTTATTCATATAATGATCTGATCACCATACTCAATATATCCCATATGCATGGGGGTATTGGGGTAATGATACAAAAGGTTTGCTAGGCTAGACCCTCTTTCACTCAGACTCAGCCCCCCCCCCCGAAACTCAGCCCCCCCCCGAAACCCCCCCTATTCAGCCCCCCCCCGAAACGAAATCCTGGCTACGGGCCTGATATACGCAAACACACATATACACAAATATATACACACACATATACACACACAAAACACATATACACAGACTGGGCCACAGCAATGTGTAGCAGGCGTAAAACCACACACACACACACACACATATACATATATACACAATCACACATATACACATATATGCACACACATACACACACAAAACACATATACACAGATTGGGCCACAGCAATGCGTGGCAGGGGATGGCTAGTAATAATAATAATAATGTTGATTTATACCCTTCTTTTTACTCTACAAAGAGACTCAAAGCAGCTTATGATAAAAGCATTTCAATAGAATTCAAAATCTACAAATATACAAATATGAAAACAGAATTAAATATCAGACGTATTTAATTGTGGATATCTAGATTTTGGGAGATGGGATAAATAGCTTATTTATCACATTTGTCCTCGTTCTCTGGCATTTATTGCTGATACGATTAATTAAATATAAACACTTTGGACTTATCCAGTGCCAGCATCTATATATATATATAAAATGCTCTGTGCATAATGAGTACCTTAAAAACAAAAGAACCAATGAACGAAATCACACCAAATTTGGCAACAAAACGTCACAACACAAGGAGTGACCATCACTCAAAAATTATGATTTTGTCATTTGGGAGTTGTAGTTGCTGGGATTTATAGTTCACCTATAATCAAAGAGCATTCTGAACTCCACCAACAATGGAATTGAACCAAACTTGGCACACAGGACTCCCATGACCAACAGAAAACACTAGAAGGGTTTGGTGGGCATTGACCTTGAGTTTGGGAGTTGTAGTTCACCTACATCCAGAGAGCACTGTGGACTCAAACAATGATGGATCTGGACCAAACTTGCCACGAATATTCCATATGCCCAAATATGAACACAGATGGAGTTTGGGGAAAATAGACCTTGACATTTGGGAGTTGTAGTTACTGGGATTTATAGTTCACCTACAATCAAAGAGCATTCTGAACCCCACAAATGACAGAACTGGGGCAAACTTCCCACACAGAACCCCCATGACCAACAGAAAATACTTAAGGCCACCCAGTCCAATTCCCTTCACCAGGACAAGAAAACATAATCAAAGCCCTCCTGACAAAGAGCCATCCAGCCATAGATATAGATAGATATATATGATTCACACAGAGAGATATAGTATCATAGATTTGAAAGGGACCCCTAAAGAAGGACAATTATATGTTGCATGTTCCAGAGTAGGCAAACCAGACAATCTCCACATCAACACTGACAAAGAAACAGCAAGAAATACTGTTTACCCACAAGCATAAAGACATATATTAGAAATCAGCACTTTCTAATTACTTTATTTTCCATATCACCAGATTGGGCCACAGTAATGCATGGCAGGGGACCGCTAGTGGGAGATAAATATCTGACAAATACTTATTTCTAACCTCTTCCTCCTTCTGGCTCTTCCAGATGGCATCTGCCCAAGACACAAGATATGGCCAGAAGGAGTCATCAGACCAGAACTTTGACTACATGTTCAAACTGCTCATCATTGGTAACAGTAGTGTTGGGAAAACATCATTTTTGTTCCGTTATGCTGACGATTCATTTACATCAGCTTTCGTAAGCACTGTTGGAATCGATTTCAAAGTAAAAACTGTTTTCAAAAATGAGAAAAGAATTAAGCTACAGATCTGGGTAAGTAGCATTATTCCTCTTCACCCATTAAAATTTCTACTAATCATTGGTTTTTTCATCAGGTTAGAGGGACTCATGACCCGGATTGATTCTTCTTTCATTCATTCATTCATTCATTCATTCATTCTTGCATATATGTGGCTTCCCTCCCTCACTTCAGTCATCTTCTGGAAATATTGCTTTGATAAGTTGTCTTCTAATGGAGTGATGATTTTGCTTTGTGGCAATGAGTTTGTCTAGATCAGAAGTGGGAATTGTTATAACCTGTAAAGCTCTATATGCCTTAGGTTCAGATTACCAAAAAGCCCATATCTCCTGATATGTGCCTTCCCATATTTTACAATTTTGAGCGGCATTCCCTCCACCCCACTGCCCTCTCAGGCCTGTCTGTTTAAGAACAAGGAAAGACACCTTATTGGTGGCTGTTCCAAATGTGTGGACCTGCTTCCCAAGAGAGATAGGATTTGCTCACTCTCTTCACTGGCTAGGACCTCCTATATAAGCATGCTTTTAGTTGTAATTGATAAGTGAAGAGTAACATGCAACAGGTGAACTGTTTTTATTGGGTTATAAGTGTTCCATGTTTCTATTTTTAATTGATATATTAAAAGGGTTTATTTTAAATGGGATTGGTTCTTTAAAGCTTTTTTTTTTTTTACAATTTTGGATTATGCATTGTTTTAGCAATTTTGTTTTAACTCATTGTGTAAGGTGCTTTGAGTCCTATTTGGGAGAGAGACAGGATATGAATACAATAAATAAATAAATTATGACTCTCCAGTTGTTGTTTGAATACTACTGCCTGCAGCTCTAGCCAATGCAGCCCAATGGGAGGGAATGAGAGAGTTTCAGATCCATAGCATCTTGAAAATGCAAAAATCCTACTTGGGTCCAAGTGAGCTTAATATGGCCTCTAGACCCAACATCTGTGGTCCTGAAGTATTTTGCCAGTCCCCCAAAGATCCAGAACTCTGATTTTTTAATGAGACAATTTTGGGGTAATTTTTGCCTGACAAAAATTCTGCAAACATGACTGTACACATGCAATAACCCTTACATGCTCACAAATACCATATTCAACCACTCAAGAGCCCTGCATTTTCCAAAATACCACAAATTGGATCCCCCACATATGACCTAGCAAAATTTCTTGCTGCACAGTTACAAAGCCATATTGGGCTCACTACACACTACATCAAGGACTCAGCCCACTTCATAGAAAAAATCAGCAATCTCAAGCTAAATACAAATGACAAACTGATCAGCTTCGATGTGGTATCTCTATTTACCATGGTCCCGGTAGCAGACACCATGGCACTCATCAACCAGAGGTTCCCAGAAGACATCACGGCTCTGTTTCACCATTGCCTTCACCACCAGTTACTTTCAGTGGGACAATGAATTCTACGAACAGAAAGATGGAGTAGCTATGGGGAGCCCTCTCAGCCCGGTCATAGCTAACTTCTACATGGAACACTTTGAAGAACAAGCCCTGGAAACAGCAACCAAAAAGCCCACGATATGGTTCAGATATGTGGATGACACCTTCACCATTTGGAGCCATGGAGAAGAAGAACTCAACAGGTTCCTGGACCATCTTAACAGCATCCACCCAAACATCCAGTTCACCATGGAAAAAGAAAATGAAGGAAGACTGCCTTTTCTAGATGTCCTAGTCATCCGCAAACCAGATCAACAATTGGGTCACACCGTCTACAGAAAACCCACACACACAGATAGATATCTACATAAAAACTCCAACCATCACCCAAGTCAAAAAGGAAGCACCATTAAAGCCTTGGCAGACCGTGCAAAAAGAATCTGCGAACCCCACCTCCTCCAAGATGAACTGAACCACCTCAACTGGGCTCTCCAGGCCAATGGATACTCCACCTCAGACATCAGAAGAGCTGCAAGACCAAGAACAAGCCACGAGAGTAAAGATGAAGATCCACCCAGAGGAAAAGTGTTCCTGCCATACATCAAGGGAACCACTGACCGCACAGGGAAGCTGATGAGGAAACACAACATACAAACAATCTACAAACCCACCAAGAAAATCCAACAAATGCTACGTTCAGCAAAGGACAAGAGGGATCCTCTCACCTCTGCAGGAGTCTACCGTATACCATGCAGCTGTGGACAAGTCTACATAGGGACCACCAAACGCAGCACCCAGACACGCATCAAGGAACATGAAAGGCACTGCAGACTACTTCAACCAGAGAAGTCAGCCATAGCAGAGCACCTGATGAACCAGCCTGGACACAGCATATTATTTGAGAAAACAGAAATGCTGGACCACACCAACAACCACCATGTCAGACTACACAGAGAAGCCATTGAAATCCACAAGCATGTGGACAATTTCAACAGAAAGGAAGAGACCATGAAAATGAACAAAATCTGGCTACCAGTATTAAAAAACTCTAAAATTATAACAGCTAAACAACAGAGAGGAAAAAACCAGGCACAGATTAACACCCCCCAGCAACAGATTTTCCCAGGCTCAGGCAGGCCTTCAAATGCTAATGAAGGTGATCAGCTAAACATTCACACCTAACTGCAGCAGGGAAGAGCTCCTTGCCCCACCCCAGCCATTCCACAGATATATAAACCCATTTTTCCTACTTCCAACAGACCTCACACCTCTGAGGATGCTTGCCATAGATGCAGGCGAAACGTCAGGAGAAATGCCTCTAGAACATGGCTCTATAGCCCGAAAAAATCCACAAGAACCATACCACAAATACTTCCATTCTCTATTTCAGTCCCTTGCAAAATTGCAAAATAATGTGATGTGATGTTATTTCCCATCACCATTTTGAGAGGAACTGAAGTCACTGCTTGATGCCATTTTGTGAGGGACTACAAAGGAGATTGGGGGTATGGGAGCTTGTTTTTGTGGAGGCTGTACATACAACCTACAGGGATTATGGAGAAAAATATCCCCAGCCCCCACACAGTTACCACTCCTCCTCTCAACCAGGAGCTGTCAAATTTCACAATAAATACAAAATGATGGCCACCATTTTAAAGAGGGGGGGGAGCATTTAAAGTATCCAGCTGTTATAACAGAACACTAAGTTGAATGCACAAAATTATATGAATGTATGCATGTGAGTATGTGTTCATTGCATACATACATATAGGTACATCCATCCGGGGGCATTTATTTATTTAACACTGGATTCCAGTAAAAGGGAAAACATCCCACTTTTCATTGCAGGCTCCCCCAACTCCCAGTGCAAGACAAACGTCTCCCCAAGAGTTCTGGGAAAGCTGGCTTCCTAGTTCTGCTGGGAAGGTGCACAAAGGTAGTCCTATGATGTATGTCATTATCTCATTAGGTTCAGTTTCCCAGCAACACACCAGAATTCAAATACACAGTGCTAAAGCACCATTTGTCAGTCAGTCCCTGCCCCCAAGTCCATTACAATATTGAAGTAGCTAATGAATACATACAGTGCTTTTAAAGAAACAATACATTACCCAAAGCAACAGTGGAAAAGTAGAATGGAGAAAGTAGAATATAAAGTGCACCACTGTGCAGTGTTATGTAGCCCTTTCCCCACAGCACAATAGAATTTTGTATTGAAAGTAAATTGATATTTGTACATGCAACTGCATTAAGTCCATATTCAATTATGTTTTCTGCTTTTAGATATGGTTTTGCCCCTAATATTTCTGAAGTGGAAGTGTTTGGTGAAATATATACTTTTGGTCCATTGTGCAGTTAATGGACCTGGATATGGGGTAGTGTTACTGATAGGGGACCACAAAAATACAGGTAGTCTGGTTACCATAGCCGACAAAAAACAGGAAAATATAATTGTTGATCCCATTTCCTAGATTTGCTGTCAGCCTTGATCCTACATAGACCAGCTTCTGATTTGTCCCTGAATGGCCTTTCACCATCCTCTATTTCCTCACAGATCTTCTCTCATAAAAGCAGGTCCACATCTTGGGTTCTGACAGTCTCTCTCATTACCTACATTTGTACAATGATAAACATTAGTTTATAGTTAACCTATACATGTTAACTATCAACTATTAACTATAGTGATAGTTGATAGCTGAGCTATAGTAATATATTAACATTGTATTATATATTAATATAAGGAGATTAACATGATCTCCTAGCCATATACATTGGATGAGAAGAGGGCAAAAGGAAGCCTGCAAGATCATGCCAGCTAATTTCTGCAATGATAAACTAAAGTTTTCCAGTGTGACTAGAAGAGTAGCATTTTTGCACCATTACATCTGGATCCCTAATTACAGATAATCTTAGTTTGCCTTATGCAGAAAATCACAAACCATGATTTAAAGCTGGCTTTTTTCACTGTGGCTAATCAAAGCAGAAGCAAATGCTTCTGAATTTCCTTCTTGCAGCCGTTATTTAGAGGAGAGAAGATAGAGGAGAGGAAGTACACAACTTGAACCGTTAGTGTAATTTGTTCCCACAATAATAAGCCATAGATAATCTCTACATCTGAATTGATATGCATCGTGTTCTTTGATAATGTTAAAATATCAATACCACTCATTCCTTTTTAATTTCCTTCCTCTGGAAAATATATTAGACATAATTTCAACAGACAAGATTGGAATGGCACATGATAATATGCTGCATGCTGTGTTACACCAAGACAAAACATGCTAGTGCTTGTTGATGACTCTTCATTACCACTTTCCAATAACAGTGGTGAATAGCCTTTCTTTCATAGATAATATACACCTTTTTATTGTGAATAGACGGGAAAATATCAACAATTGATTAAGACTGTTCTTGCAAAAGCAACAAAAATAGATGCAAGGCATTGCATTTTATTCTACTAGATTTAAAGCAATATTCTAGCAGAGTCCTTTTTCTAATTATTTTCCTTATTGACTGCAAGTATGTTCTACAGCAAAGTGTATGAAGCCAATTCATGAAGTAGATGTGCAAATGCCCTTCTCCAGTCCTGCACATTCCTATCATAGTTTTTCCAGCTCCC